TTCCAGATTAGTGTTGAGTTGCTCATTTGATAAAAAAAACTTTGTAAAATGTAAAAACAATTTTTTACACAAGTTTTCTGGAATTAATATAGCAAATAAACAATATTGGCTATGTGGACTCCCTGAAAGAGGTGCTGAGTGACAAACTCAATTATCAGTTGTATCAAAATTTCTATAAGTTAACATCAGATTTGAAGGATTTTATGTTAGTTTTTGCATGGTTAATTAAAATTATCATGGTAGGATAGTGAACTGTTGTTTTGTTTGTTACAGGGTAGTGAACTGTTGTTTTGTTTATTACAGGGTAGTGAACTGTTGTTTTGTTTGTTACAGGATAGTGAACTGTTGTTTTGTTTGTTACCGGATGGTGAACTGTTGTTTTGTTTGTTACAGGGTAGTGAACTGTTGTTTTGTTTATTACAGGGTAGTACTGTTGTTTTGTTTATTACAGGGTAGTGAACTGTTGTTTTGTTTGTTACAGGGTAGTGAACTGTTGTTTTGTTTGTTACAGGGTAGTGAACTGTTGTTTTGTTTGTTACAGGGTAGTGTACTGTTGTTTTGTTTGTTACCGGATGGTGAACTGTTGTTTTGTATGTTACAGGGTAGTAAACTGTTGTTTTGTTTGTTACAGGGTAGTGAACTGTTGTTTTGTTTGTTACAGGGTAGTGAACTGTTGTTTTGTTTGTTACCGGATGGTGAACTGTTGTTTTGTTTGTTACAGGGTAGTGAACTGTTTTGTTTTGTTTGTTACAGGGTAATGAACTGTTGTTTTGTTTGCTACCGGACGGTGAACTGTTGTTTTGTTTGTTGCAGGGTAGTGAACTGTTGTTTTGTTTGTTACCGGATTGTGAACTGTTGTTTTGTTTGTTACAGGGTAGTGAACTGTTGTTTTGTTTGTTACAGGGTAATGAACTGTTGTTTTGTTTGTTACAGGATAGTGAACTGTTGTTTTGTTTATTACAGGGTAGTGAACTGTTGTTTTGTATGTTACTTGGTAATGAACTGTTGTTTTGTTTGTTACAGGGTAGTGAACTGTTGTTTTGTTACAGGGTAGTGAACTGTTGTTTTGTTTGTTACAGGGTAGTGAACTGTTGTTTTGTTTGTTACAGGGTAATGAACTGTTGTTTTGTTTGTTACAGGGTAGTGAACTGTTGTTTTGTTTGTTACAGGGTAATGAACTGTTGTTTTGTTTGTTACAGGGTAGTGAACTGTTGTTTTGTTTGTTACAGGGTAATGAACTGTTGTTTTGTTTGTTACAGGGTAGTGAACTGTTGTTTTGTTTGTTACAGGGTAGTGAACTGTTGTTTTGTGGACGTAAAGTAACAGCACTAGAAGCTCATCAACTAGGACTGGTATCTCAAGTATTCTGGCCTACCAGTATGATGCAGGAGGTTATACCTAGAGTTCAACAAATGGCTCTTTTCTCTGGCAAGGTTTGTACTAGTATTATCATTTACAATAAAATGTCTGACCACA